TGGCTCCCGCGAGCTGCCGGGCGGTGTGTCCCTCCGGGCCCCTCCCCTGAGTTCCGGGGTCCCCGTGAGAACTGGGTTCCGGCGCGTGCCGGGTGGGATTCGGGACCGTGTTCTTCCGGGAGGCCGGGTGGCCGGGCCTGTCTGTGGCCTCAGGACCCTGCACCGGAGGGGGACGCGGGGCAGTGCGTTTGGCGTTGCGGCCGCGGGGGTGCTCGGAGAGCGGCCGGGGCTGGGGACGCTCCGACGACAGGCGACCGCCGGTTGAGCTGAGCGCTCCCTGCGTGTCGGACCCCGCGCTGGGCGCTCTCTGCGCGTTTTCCAGCCCCCCGAGGCCCAGAGGTGAGCGCTGTCAGGTGATGCGCATTTCCCAGGTGGGGAAACCAGGGCATAGGAGCGAACCAACCTGTCCAGGGACCCACGGGGGAACTTGAACTCGGCTCTGTTTGACTTCAGAGCCGCCCCTGCTTCTGTCCCTTTCAGAGCCCACCGTTGGCTCCCCTCAGCCCATAGTCTGGCACCTCCGAATCTGTAAACTTTTGTTTTTTTTAAACTTTTCGACCTTGCATAAACGCCGTGGGGAGGGAGGAGCGAAGGGTAGACTTCCTATTGGCACCGCGCTCGCTCTCTCCCCTCTCCTCTCCCCCCTCTCCCCGGGCCGGCGCGTCTCCCTTTCCCAGGCGCGCGGGCTCCCCCGTGCGGCCGCCTCCTGAACCTGGACGCGACACCGGGTCTTACGGTGCCCGGCAGCCTCCGCACGGCTCTTCCCTCCCCTCGCCTGCTGTGGTCACTGATGCGCAGCACGTAGTAGTTATGCAGCAAACCCATGTCGATTAGAAAGAAATTCGAGTGTGACCTCCCAAGGAACACTGTTAACCTGGAATGGACCTTTCAGGGTTTTAAAGGAATAATTTAAGGTCAGGTGAGAAATAGCCAAAAGCTATCTCAAAATAATTTGAAACTTATGTTAGAAAGTTTTTATATTTTAGGCTAATCCCTATCAACGTTCTTTAGCAGTTCACTGTTGGGGAACATTTTCCCGGAGGGTAGGGAAAGGAAGAGGCTTGTTGAAAAGATGGAAACTCATACATCAGGCGTTTCAAATAGGGTGGTTTTGTTTTAGAGCTTTGTAGATGTACGAGCAGTTATTTCCCTTAAGGCATCGCAAGAAAATTAAGAGCTTAATTCAGTTTAAGTGGGAAACTTTAGAGGTCCCTTATTGCCTTTACCACTTTTGCATTACTGCATAATATGTATGACCTAAAATTCTCAGCACATATTGTAAAAAATGGTCTACCTTTGTCTACACACTAAACTTATNCACTTTTGCATTACTGCATAATATGTATGACCTAAAATTCTCAGCACATAATGTAAAAAATGGTCTACCTTTGTCTACACACTAAACTTACGTTTAATTAAATAAACTCATGCCTTCACACCCCCCAAAACTATTCACTTATTAACACAAACGAAGTAATTCTTTGTCACATACCTGAAATAAGCTTTTATTTACTCTTATAAATTCATAGCTGTTTTGTTTAGGAAGTCTAAAGATACAAAGATTGATTATTTTTAAGCCAAGCCTGCCTAACTGAGTTCATACAAACACATCAAAGTCCGTTTTTACATTTTGACTGAACCTGGTGGAAGCCTGTCACTAGTTCATTTGATATCCTGTTATGGAGCAAAGTCATGTAGAAGTTAGAATTTTGAGTTCCGATATTTGCTGTCTGGATTCTTCATTAACTGAAATGGTACATATTTTCTTATAGCACATGACTTAGGATTTACGCTTTAGGACATGGATGAATCTGCACTGACCCTTGACACCATAGATGTTTCTTACCTCCCTAATTCATCAGAATACAGTGTTGGCTCATGCAAGCATGCAAGTGAGGAATGGGTAAGTTTAAACCTAAGATGCGGATTAAAAGCAGTCAACCTAAAGATGTTCATTTCAGTTTTGTTTATGGAGGTGAACATTCTGGAGCCAAGTTAATATCAATAACCGAGAAGAAAATCTCGGGTAAAAAATTTGACTACAGACATTATGTTTAAAAGCAAAATACTTTTGCATAGGAAAAACCCCCCTACTCGTCGTTATTTTGGGTGGTATAATTATAAAGATAGTTTTAAAATGTTTTTGTATCTATTGGCCATAATTATACCTAATAAGTATACATTTTTTGATGAAATAAAATTTATGTAAAAAATTAAAAATAGGAGAATAAATTTTAGTATGAACCCAATCCAGAGGGTATACATTATCTTGTATTGTTTTCCCGATTTCAACATAACATGATGTGTCTAAAATATTTCTTGAACTCTATCTGCTTTATTGAAGAAGTGATGGTAGAGATTTTTTGTTTTTTTGTTTTTGCTTATTTTTGAGCATGCTATATTAGTGGGATTTGAGCAACAGTGAACTCAAGAGGAAAATATTTAGAATGGAAGAGCTGAGTTTGACCCTAATGGTACCTATAGCACAGCTATAATTTCATTTTCAGCCTTTACACTGTCGTTAGGATAAATGAATGTTCTATAACTGTACCTTGTTTTTTATTTAAATCAAAATATTTTAAGCTCTATTTAACAACTTGCTTACTGTGTAAGGCCTTGGTAGTTCTTTTGTGAGAGTGTGTGATTTAAGAGAGAGTGAGATGAACTGTTAGCATAGGGATCAAGGAGTCTGATTTTATTCATCCTGCTACCATAAGAGGCTGTTTGACATTTTCCAGTTTTGTTTTAAAACCTTGAATGCTGCTTTGAGTGTAGAGTAGTTTTTGCCAGCTATCACTATTCTTAAGTGCTCAGTGTTTGGGAAGAAACATGTTTCAAGTGTTGCTCATGGAGGGAGTACCTTGAATGAAAATCACTCTGAGAATTATGCCACTACCCGAAGAAAAGTATGTCATAAGTTTCTATCTGAAATATCTTCATTTTAGAAATCACGTGGACAAGTATAATTTTTTTGCCAGTTAGTGACCACTTTTTCCTTAATATTTATTAGGGTGAGTATGGCTTCAGACCTACTGTCTTCAGATCTGCAACCTTAAAATGGAAAGAAAGCCTGATGAGCCGGAAAAGGCCATTTGTCGGAAGATGTTGTTATTCCTGTACTCCCCAGAGCTGGGTAAGAATGTTACTACTGTTGACCTTTAATAAACCCTTGAAATATGTGACATAGATTTCCAACTTTGTGTGAATTTGGTATTGGGCAAATACCAAATAGACTTCATTCATTGATGTTGACTCAATTTTTCTTTCCATTTATATGTTCATTAAATGTTGGTTTAGTAGTTGATGCTAGGCAAGATTTGGCTTCTTTAGTAGTTTTGGTATGACTTTAGGGCAGGGATGGGGAGCACGACCGTATACAGCCTATGAAATCATTTGGTCTGGTCCTGCTGAGGCAACCACAGGTGGGACTCAAAATTCAGTAAATCTAGGAGCTTTTTTCATAGCTAATTTTTAAGTTGATAATTTTGTATGGCCTGCGAATGATGTTATAAATATCCAAATGGTCCTTGGCAGATAAACGGTTCCCCACCCTGCTCTAGGGGAAGAGTAGATCTTTCTTTAGTTAACTCTTCCAAAGAGTTGGTAGGAGCCGTCATGGATCTTACAGATGTTGAACTTCAGCCCTGTGGCTTTGCTGTACTCTTACTAAGCTTCTATTTCAGGGTGATGGGGGAAGGGTGTCTGCTGACTCTGTGAAGAATGGTCACTAAAAGCTCAGGTGAAGACTTAAAAAAGAGTGTGTATGTACCTCTTGTTTGTATTTTGGTGAAAAAACATAAGCCCTGCAAAATCTTCCACATTACGGTGTGGTGTCGCTATTTGAGAAGGGTTGATTAAATGAGAGGTATGCTTCTGATGGCGTTTTGCCAGAGGGATGAGTTAGCACAGGATGGTAGAATCTGATGTGGCTGTGTCCTGAAGCAGTAGAGTTACGTATTAAAAGGTATACCTGGATGTTAAGCTCTCTCTGAGATGGGTCAGTTATCAGGACATAGAAATTCTGCCCTTTAAGGATCTGTTCTTTATAGAGGTTGCTCATAGCTTGTGCAAATAGCTAACTTCTGTGTGAATTTTCTGCTCAGGGTTGGTTTGTCAGGAAGTAGAATTCTGAGTCTGGGACAAAGGGGTTTACTAACCTGGGAGAGACTTGTATGGGGCCCAAGCAGCTTATGTTAGATATTTAGGTCTGCTCAAGAATGTCTTGATATAAATATTCCTTTTAAATCACAAGGGCCTTGTTGCCAGAATTTGATAGCAGTGAAGGATCATGGAAGTTTCTAGTCAGGAATAAGGCCAGATTAATAGGCCAATAGAAATAAAGATTTAAATAGAAGATCACATGGCTTTGAAACATTTTTATTTTAGATCTGGCCTCTCATCTAATTCTAATTTTGAATGCTTAAAAGACCGAAACAATACCTGAACTCTAATGTGTTATTAATTCAGGAGGGAGCATAGGAAACTTTTTGGTGGTGGTAACGGCTTGGGGTGGGGATAGGTGAGTAGTATAGAGATAATTGATTTTTTCCTAAATATAGGAACTGAACTTTAGGTACTATAGCACCTAAATGTAGAAGCTGAACTTGATCTTGAAGTTCTTCCATGACTTGTTTATTTAAAATAATTTTTGGTTGACAGTATTTTTATAGTAATTTTTTGATATTTGCTACCCTTTCTCTGAAGTCTTATTTTCCTTTTCTCTAAAGAGATTTGTCTTAGTATTTTTACATCTTTTGTTGAGGGTACATTATGCTTTCTCAGCACTTATTTGTGCAAAGTTTACCTTATGTCCCTATAGATAATATTACAGACTTTTTCTTTTCAGCAGTTATTTCTGGATTATCTTCCAAGGTTACCTGTAAAGAGGATGACCTTTAACCATACATTATCTTTTTAAGTGGAACAGTTTTTGTAAGGGAATAGAAAGACCATACTATTTGGAGTAAGATCTAGGATTGAATTGTGGACTTCTGCCAGACTCAACTTCCCTGTCTGTAAAATGAGGATAATAATTCTTACATATCAGGATTATTGGGAGATTTAATAATCTAATATAACTACATGTTACTTTTTGTTGTTAGTAATTAAATTTTATTTGCAGAACAATCACAGTTTTATTTCAGTGACAGAGAAGGTAGCCAGTAGTATTGATTTTAGTCTAATACAGGAACTGAATAAAGTGTCAGTCCCAAAATATAAAGCACATCTCCTTGGCATATTGTGGAAACTGTCCATGAGTCACTTCCCTCGAACATCAAAGATTAAGTCCACATTTACACATGAAAGTACCTGCCTAGTTGGCAGTTTTCAAATACAACTAGTAGTGATTCTCCTGTTGAGTTTGGAACATATGATATGTTGGTACTCCTTTGGAGGAATAATACAAATTTTCCTATATTGCTTTTTTTAGTTTTCTAGTTTGGGAACACTGAAATCTCCAGTATTTTTTCAATGACTTAAATTATATGTAGTTTCAGCTCTTTGGTGTTGGAGGGTGGGGAGTGGCACAGGAAAGGAAGAGACACTGTTTTCTTTGCAAGGTGTTAAGGCTTAAATTTGAGTTTGTGACTTTTTTTATAGACTAGAAGGTACTTTTCAATAATTTTCATCACTTTGATTTTTAAAGTCATGGCTGACTTTTTGAAGCCATGCCTAACTTTATGCTTGAATTTTCAAAGTTATTAAGTACTAGTAATGGGAGCTCTTACCAGCAATCCAGTTGTATATTTATGTCTATGTTTAATCTTGTTTTATGTAGGATAAGTTTTTCAACCCCAGTATCCCGTCTTTGGGCTTGCGGAATGTTATTTATATCAATGAAACTCACACAAGGTAAAAAGAAATTTCTTATACTTCTAATACATCTCAAAAGAAAAACTCTGTAATAAGTATAAGATGAATCTCATTATGTTTCTGAGAGTTAATAGAATATGAGCCTCTGACACAAAGGCTTTATCTAAAATTTGGAAACAACAAAGGTACTGAGTAGTAATTACTGTTATTACTGCTGTAATTATATAATCAATATTTTCTTGAGAGTGTAGATATCACTCACAGCTTTCTTAACTTACCCATGTATTGATTTTGCATCTGAAGTGTTCCAAATTGTGACGATTTGTCTGAGGAGAGGGGTAGGTTTGAATGTCTTACGATCTGTTATGACTATTTTATACTTAAAAAAAGTATAGCCAATCTAGAGTTCTAGAAGGTATTTTCCTTTATTGAGCAAGCGTTCTTTGATTTATTATTAGTTTAAGACTTTTCTCAGAATTCTTACTTCCAAATTCCAGGCAAGTGGGGATAGGTTATTAGGCAGCAGGGTGAGAGAAAGAGGCTTTGTTTCTGTGAATCTAGGCTAGGGGATAGGGAAGGAGGGTGCGAAGGTTGTGTGAGTGTCTTTGAGGCATGAGAGGAACTGCAGCTGAAAATGCTACCAGTTCTTATAATTCTAAGAGTAAATGCCTCGCAGAGGGAAGCAGTAAGCTCAGGTGATGAGAAATACTTGAATTCCTATGAAAAACTGACCTAAGAAGTCAAATACTTAAGTTTTAAGTCTTTCTCATGTTACTGCTCATATTTTGATGATAAAGTCATAACCATGACAATATCTGCTTGTATAGTTAAGATTTAAAGAAAAATAGATGCCTGGCTGGGCGTAGCTCGGCGGTTGAGCGTCAACCTAGGATCCAGGCGATCGGGGTTCGATTCCCGGTCAGGGCACATGCCCGGGTTGCGGGCTGCGGCCTATCAATGACTCTCTCATCATTGATGTTTCTATCTCTCTCTCCCCCTCTCCTTTCCTCTCTCTGAAATCAATAAAGATATATTAAAAAAAAAAATAGAACTGAAGTCAAGGGGCATATTTTTTCCCATTTCCATGCTCCCCTTCCTTCCACCCTTCTCTTCTCCCTCTCTTAAGTTTAAAGGTGAGAGAGAAATTCTGGTTCATTGATTTTTTTTTTTTTTTCCTTTCTCTTGGTTGACATGATTAAGATCCTAAGAAAAAGAGATCTCATAGGGTCTCTATGTAAGTACACATCCAGTGTATAAAGCCAGAGGGTCCATATATTGCCCTCAATTGGAGGCAGTTAAGGAAAAAAAGTTATATTGACAGGGCAAAATGAAACCATTCAATGTAGTAAGCTGCCTTGCTGTTGAGTTGGATATTTGGCTTTTCTGTGTGTTGCATGAAGCAAAGCCTGAACTTTTTTTTAAATATATCTTTATTGATTTCAGAGAGAGGAAGGGAGAGGGAGAGAGAGAGTTGAAACATCAATGATGGAGAGAGTCATTGATTGGCTGCCTCCTGCACCCCCCAACTGGGGACCAAGCCTGCAACCCAGGCATGTGCCCTGACCAGGAATCAAACTGCGATCTCCTGGATCCTAGGTCGATGCTCAACTGCTGAGCCACGCCCGGCCAGGCCAAGCCAGAACATTTTTTCACACACACGCGCGCGCGCGCACACACACCCCCACACCCACACACCCACACACCCCCACACACAC